AGAGAGAGTGTGTGTGTGTGTTTTATCATGGGATATATTTGAAGAGGGAGATTTCATTTATTGCCCAGATTCTCTTTATATATGCATAGAGACTTAATACTAAAGACGGATTTGAGAAAAAAAAAAGTCTGAGAGCGAAAGAAAGAAAGAGATTCGAGAAATGCACAGAACTACAAAAAAGGGGTATGACATTAGAAATGATGCTTTTTTTTTTTTTCTCGTCAACCCCCTTTTTTTATTTCTTATTTATTACAAATTCCTTTCTTTCACTTTGCACTTAAATAACTTTCCTTTCCTTTATTATTTTTTTTTTTTGTATTGATATTGTTAGTGCTGCAGCAGCAAAAAAATAATAGTGACAGTAAAAGGGGAAATCCGTGTAAGGAAGAGAAAGTAGTAGCGATATCGGCGGTGGATAGAGACTATATTCTATTTAGGAACCTCTTATATATAATTTTTTTTTTTTTAAATCTAATGCTCATTAAACTCATCTGTGATGACAGTTGCGGCTTCGTTAAACGCCTTGGTGCGTCTGAAATTCGTGTTGGTTGGGTTGTAGATGAAAACGTGCCTTTGCAGGATGCGTCACAAATTACATCACTTAATGCTGCCATTGAGAAAAGTCATCAAGAAGGATCTGGTGGAAGGAGGAATAGCAAAAATAGTGAAGATGAAGAGAACAATAATAGTAGTAGTAGTAATAATAATAATCGTGTGAATCATATAGAGACAAGTGCCATGGAAAACAATAAGGAGGTGGTGGATTTTAAGAGATATGCTGTCACTTTTCCATCCTCTACGGAACCACTGGATGTTCGTCGTACACCTCAAGCACTTGGACTGAGAAGTGGCGTAACACTCCAGCTTATATATATGGGAGAAGAAATGACATTACAAGAGCCCTTTTCCCCTATTATGACTTCTCCACTGAGAGGAAAGACCCAAGACTCGCAGGTGATGAATACGGAGGATGACACAGATGAGGATCCGGAGGAGTCTTATGCATCTTATGAGATTGGTTGGTTTCCATTCCTGCTGCGTCCTCGCGAAGGAGAGCCATTGGTGCTTATTAATGATCCCTTCAAGGCGGTCTCTGAGAGTGATGCGGTGCCGGCCACGCAGCCGTTGTGTGAGTCGTGTGGGGCGCTTGTTTCCCACAGTGATGCGCTGCGTGTCTCTGTGGATCGCCATTACCGCCCAACCCGCATGCGGCAGGACTTTATGGAAGTTTGTATGGAGAAACTCGGTGGCGGCCCGATCCCCCGCTGGCAGACCCGTTATGTGCAGATCTCCGAGACCTCAGTGGATTGGTTTGCGGAGAAGCCGCGCCCGGGTGTGAAGTGCCGCATTCACGGCCATCGCTACATTGTGCGGAATGGCGTCTGTGAGGTGACGGCGCTGCTGGAGAATGTCGATGCCTCACACAACCCGCACTGCGGCGATCGCAATTTATTTCACTTCGCCATTGAGTTCCGTGAGCCGCGGCGGACGTATTGGTTTCGAGTGACGACGGCGCAGCGGCGGGCGGCGGTTGTCGCGTTTCTTCAGGCGGCCATTCGCCGAGCCGCCCGCCGCGCCCCGCCGCAGAACCCCCGCGTGTGGAAAAGTCGGGCCGACGCGTTTCTCGCGACTGCGGCGCAACTCGGCGAACTCCACGCGGTGAATCGCATCGACATGGACGCCCTGCGGGATCGCATCGAGACACGCCAGCGTGAACTCGCCGAGTTGATGCAGAGTGAAGAAGAAGAAGAAGAAGAAGAAGGAGAAAAAGAAAAAGAAGAAAAGAAGAAGGGAAGAGGACTGCAGGCCGCACTCGCCGCACAGACGGATGTCCTGCAGGCATTACGTGCGGAACTGAACGCCTACGAGGCGGACACACAACGCGCCCAGCAGCGACTCATCGCTGCAGAGGCTCGACTCACACATGAGACGGAGTTGTTGAATGCCCAGCGGCTTGAGATGGGAGATGAAATACACAAAGTGAATATGCTTAAGAGTTACGCCATGCAGCAACGGGATGCCGCAGAGAAGCGCATTGCGGAATTGCGTCAACGGGCCGCCGCCTTGCAAGCGGAAGAACATTCCATATTTCGCAAGTGGCGGGCCTTTGAAGAACGACATCGACAACCGCAACACCAACAACACGATGGAAAACCACACACCAGACTTTATTCCTTCTCGGAAGATGGCGTTGGGGTTTCATGCGGAAGTCCACGGCTCTCAACGGAACTCGCAGCCGCCGCCGCCGCACGAATAGCATTAAGTCGAACTACGCCATCACGCCATCTGCATAATAACAATAACAATAGGAATGACAGTCAAACACCAATGCAGTCTCCACAGCGTCCCTTACAGTACTCCACTAGTCGTGAGCGGACACCATAAAAAAAAAAAAAAAAAGAGAGAAGGAACAGCGAAAAATAAAACAAAACAAACAAAAAAAAAATGAGAAGTCTTGAATGGCCCGATGATTTTTAGTGGTACAAGAGTGTTGTAATATTACCGTACTTCCTTTCTTTCTTTATCACTCCCTAAAAAAAAAAAAAAAAAAAAAGAAATTCTATTTTTTTTTTTTTTTTTTTTTTTTTTTTTTTTTTATCGCATGACGAACAAAATGACGAAAAAACAACAACTGAAGTTACCATTTCTTTTCCTTGCTACTACTATTAGTATTATTATTATTATCACCTGCTCATATTTATGCCTGTATCGATATCGTGTTAATTACCTCTCACTACTTTTTTCCTTTTATTTCCCAGAATTCTCTCTCCTTTGTAAGCATGTTTCTATTTACAAGAAACCATCTCTGACCTTTTTTTTTTCTTCTCTTCTTGAGGAATGAGGGGAGTTTCTTGATGAGTGACATGTTGTGAGTATATATATATATATTTACTCAATTTCCATTATATTCTTAACTGTCAGAATAAAAGGAAGAAAAAAAAAAAAAAGAGGAGTGAGACTCAAATGACAAGATTTAAAAAAAAGTACAAATCCCAACAAAACAAAACGAAAAAAAAAAAATAATAATAAATTACATTCTTGTTAGCAGCAAGAATATTGGCTAAACCTATTATTCTCTACCATGTCGTATATCCTTCTTTTTTTTTTTTTTCTTTTCTTCCTAACTCTTCCCTTCATAAATATATCTCTCTTCCTTACGTTTAAACCTGATGAGAGGAAAAAAAAAAGGAAAGAAGAGAGACTGCATTGTGTTTTTTTTTGTCCTTAAGAAGTAATATCAAGAACAAACAAAAAAAAACTTAACAAAGAGGCAAACAGAGGAGTATATACTCAAAACAAACGAATCTTCAGATAAATAAAGAGAGAAAGAGAAGGATTGTACACTGGAGACATCTGGACAAATAAATATTATAAAAATATAACTTATTTCTCTCAGGATATCTGTATACTGTTGTATAGATATATCATATGGAGGTGTATACTGAGAAAGGCAGGGGAGACGATAATACCAATAATACTACTTCGTTATTTCTTGCTTCTCTACTTGTTGTATTAGTTACCAGTGCCCATATCGCAGGCCGCGGAGGGGTTTCGTGGGAAATGATAAGATTAATTCTTGTAATTATTGTGCTAGTCTCCCTAGTACTGTATACAAGTGGCACTTTTCAACTTATGGGTGATATAGTGAAAATTGTTCGCAACAGCGATACCTCACTTCGCTCTGCTGCCGGTATTGGAAAGTTCTGCAGAGATGTTCAGGCACTTGCAGAAAGTCAAATGTTCCGTGTACTTCTTCTTATTACTGTAGTGTACCTTTTCCTTCAAACCCTTTGTGTGCCAGGCACTGTTGTGCTTAATGCGGCAACAGGTGCGGTAATTGGTACTCTATTAGGAGTACCGTACTGTACTTTATTAGGAACCGTTGGGGCTTCTTGTTGCTATTTACTCTCTAACTATGTTGGGATGCGTCTGGTGGAGCGGGTGGATGCGAGATTGATGAAGGGCAAAGGCCTTTCCAAGATACGCACACAAGTTCATCGACACCGTAGTGAACTCTTTGTCTATCTTCTCTTTTTACGCCTCACCCCTATTCTTCCAAACTGGCTGGTGAATTTAGCCTCACCCGTTGTTGGTGTTCCCATCCGCGTCTTTGCCCTTGCGACGTTTGTGGGTATTGTGCCGCAGACGTATTTAACGGTGCGATTTGGGGCGTTTGCGCGGGTGTCGGGGACTGCGGGCCGCACTTCGATTGTGTCGCCGTGGGATACTTTACTGCTGGCGGTGATTGGCGCGGCGATAGTGGCGGCGATGGTGTTGAAGCGGCGGTTTATGCCCGCGGGGGCGGCGGGATTAGATGCGAGTGGACGGGCAATGGTGTTTGCCGTGTGAGGTCCATAATATAAATAGGAAAGAAAGAGAAATGAAATAAGAAGAGAAAGAATAACAGGGAAGAGAAAGAGGGTGTGTGTGGTTGGGGGTGGGTGGTGGGGGTGTGTGGTAGTATATGGGAGAGAAGGCAAGAGGAAGTGGGAGAAGGAAGGTTAAAGAAAAGAAAAGAAAAGGGAATGACGGGATGAGTGAGGAGGACTAATAAAAGAGGTTTTTTTTTTTCTTTTTACAACGTAATCACCATCGCCGTCTCTTCTTCTTTTCCTTTTTCCTTCATTTTAGCATATATATATATATAATGGAGTCTTCTTTCTTGTTCTTTTTTCATTGATACACTTATTTTTCCCTAATGTAGTGAACTCATTTAATTCCTTATATTCTTCTTGATTGCTGTCCTTATAATCACAGGGGTCAGAAAAAAAAAAAAAAAAGAGGACAAAGAAAAAGAATAATAATTGCCGTGAGCACAGAATAGGTACGATAAAATCAATATCATTATTAGTAGAAAGGGGTTATATACTTTATAATTCCTTCAGCTTACATATTCTATCCCTTTACTTATGATTATCTCTCCTCTTTGCAGGCTTCATTGTATGATTTTATTTTTATTTTTACTTCTATCTCTTCTATGTGTCTTTTACCTAAGTATACATTAAAAAAAAAAATGTATACACTGATTTATGTGTGATTTTCTCTTTTCCGTTTCTTTTTTTCTTTCTTCGTTATTCTATTTGTTATGATGTTGTTTTTGTGTAATGACTGATGTATTTCTTACAAAATAAAGGGAGAAAAAGAGAGAGGAAGAGGAGGGAATATCAATAGTCTGAGGGAGACTTTATACATCTCTCTGCATATATATATATATATATATATATATATATATATATATATATATATATAGAGAGAGAGAGAGAGAGAGAGAGAGATAGAGAGAGATAGATAGATACGTTTTGTGTGTTTCGGCGCAGATCTTTGTCACTTTCATTACAAAGAGTGGAAAAGAAAAGGAGAGAAATAAAACCAAAAAGAAAAAAGTTGGGGAAAAAATACAAAAAACAACAACAAAGAAATAAAAAAAAAGATACATTATAAAAAAAAAAAAAGAAGAAGAAAACTCTGTCACACACACACAAAAAAAGAAAGGTAGCAACAGAATTCTTTGAATAGAAAAAAAAAAAAAAGAGGGGGAATGTCAAATCCAAATGGAGCTTCTTCTTCATCATCCCCTTTTCCACAGTACATGCGAAGTCGACGTCTTTCTCATGATAAGAGTGGAATTGCTAGTGGTAGTGGCGGCAGCAGCAGCAGTGCGAGTCTTCCTTCTATTAATGTCACCTTTAATCACAGACAAACAAACTCCAACTCCTCCTTTGGTTCTAATAGTCGCCCCACACAATCATCCATGAAAGCCCCGGAATTACTGCAAGTGATTGAGAGTCAACGGCGGGAACTGCAGGCCCGCACAGATAGTGTAAATGCCATTCAACGCAACTTTGAGCGATTGAGTGAAATGTACCGTAGTGATCGTGCCGAGTTGGAGCGATTACGTGAAGAGATGGAAAGATTACGAGAACGGGATGCGGCAAGTGAGAGTGAACGTAAAGTACTTGCTGCTATGCGGGAGGAATTGGAGTCTCTGCTGAACTCTCATAAAGAACTGCGGGAGACGCGAGAGCGGGAAAGAGAGGCATTTAATAATAGTAGTAGAGACATGGAACAGCGATTGGAAGAGCAGCAGTCGTCCTTTATGGAGTTGCAGCGTCTCTGCGATTCTCTGAAGTCGGAAGCGGCAGAAAGAGAAGAGAAGTTAAGACGTGTGAATGCAGATATTAGTGATTTCAAACGTAAAGTAGTACAGTTTTCAGTGGAACTGAAAGGTCGTTTAATGTCATTTCCCATAGAAGGTATTTTACTCTCTACGAATAC